TCAAAAATTATTTACAATATTCGTATAGTGTTGGACTGAATTATCGGTACAAATCAAGGAAATATCTAAAATTATCTCAAAACAATTTTATCAGTCACACAGATTTTACACCATTAAAAAATATCAGACCAAGTTGTGTACTAAACAAAGCAGGTATGATATTGTTAATTTCAATTTTACAATTTTATGTTAAAAAATAAAATAAATTATTTTATGTATCAAAATGTTTAAAATATAGTTAAGATAAAATTAGTTATTAGTTATTTTTAATAACTTAAAATTATATCATGTATTTAAAAAATACTATCTGTTTGTCTATAAATAGTGCTAATCAAAACTGTAAATTGAGGAACATAAAAATACCTGAATTGTTTATAAATGCTTTTTACCCCTGTAAATTTCAAGTACTACAAATTTTTTATTAGTACCTAATAGTTTATATGTATGATGCTTAAGAGGTTACCATACTACAATATAATTTTTGGTGATGTAAGGCATAGAGTAGTTTTATAAACTTTTTTTGTATTAAGGATATATCTAAGTATATCTATATTATTTTTTGAATAAATTATCAAAGATTGTTTTATAGATTATCTGGAAAATAACAGTCTTCTTTCTAAAAATAAATATGGATTCAGATCTAGGAAAGGTACAGAAGATGCTTTATACGCTGTTACAAAATTCATATCTAAAGCACTTGATAAAGGTGATAAAGCACTAGGTATAATTTCTAGATTTAGAGAAAGCTTTCGATACTGTAGAGTGTAGATCATATTTTACTAATTAAAGTTTTCAGTTGTAATGGTATAAATGGTATTTGTTTAAACTGGTTTAAAAGCTATCTTAATAAGAGGAAACAAATTACAAATATTAATGGGGTTTCAGCGTAAATAAAGTTGTGTATGGTGTTCCTCGGGGTATTATTCTAGGTCCAATTTTGTTTATTATGTATATTAATAGTCTATGTGATATGAATGTTGATACATGTTTGTTATTATCAAGTTGTAATTGGGAAACTCTAAGACAAAAAACGGAATTCAATTTCAAGAAAGTAATAAAGTGGTTAAATATTAAAAAACTATCTTGAAACTTTAACAAAACAATGTTCATAGTTTTTCCAATAAAATATACTTTACCACCTTTTGAAGAAATTACGTTACACGACTGTTCAACTGCATCAAACTGTAACTGCCCAAAAATAAATAAAGTCAAAAGAATAAAATATTTAGGACTAATATTCGATTTTAACCTTAAGTGGAATGTTTATATTAATAGTTCGATAATAAAATTGCGATCTTTAATGTTTAAATTTCATATATTTAAATATATGATATAATCTCATACATTGAGAATAGTTTATCTTTCTCTATACCAATCTATATTGTAATACGACATAGTAATTTGGGGAGGTGCCTCCAAAAATGTTCTAAAACCATTAAAGATTCGACAAAATAGTGTAATTCGTATTTGTCTGAAAAAGGAAAATCTTATTGGGTCTTATTGGGTTTTGTTAAACTATAATGAATTTAATGTGCTTCCGTTGGAATTGCTCTACAAAAAACCCGCCATATTGTTTAAATATAAAAAATCAAGCTTTTTCTTTAAAAAACAGAATGACAAGATTAGCAGGGAAGATAGACTATGTAATATTAAAGTTTTATTTACTAATACAAGTTTTGGTCAAAATTTTATTAATTATCTATATTAACGCTTTGCCAATGAAAAAATTATTTTTAATGATAAAATTAACATACAAAAATGTATATTTTGTATCTGTTGACGCGTGCTATTATATTATTATATTGTACTATTTTATTATTATTATTTTATATTAAGAGTCGATAATTTGTATCGGTATCGTTCGGTCTTGATAAAGACAATACGCGGGCCGATCCCGATAACACATTATTATAGACTTATATTATACTGTATGACTATTGAGTCAGTCGCGTACGATCGATGTAATCGGCACCGTCTCGCGTCGTCGTAATAAATAACCATAAATAAAGATGTATATATTTTTGCGATCGAAATAAGGTGCGTTACAATATATTGATTAAACAGCTAATTATTCCTATCCGAGAACCAAAAACAAAGAAAAAGCGTTAGGATAGCGAGTAATTTGGAGTGAAAAGGCTTAAAAAAGTGCGAAGCCACGTGTACGCGAACTCAAAAAGTTGAGATCAAACTCGTTGACTTCAACTACTAATTTCATCAAATTTTAATGTGTTACTAGAATCAACTCGGTTAATCACTTTTATGTAAAGTTTCTAATAATACCTATATGCAATAATGCTTATTTTATATCAATTTTAAAAATATGTATCCTTTTAGATACATGAATATTAGTATTGGGTTATGGCTATGTATCTTTTAAGATACAATTCATAACTTTGAACTTTCAAGTCCAATATTTTTTTTGACAACATTTTTGAATTCAGCAACCTTAAATTAGTTTGAAAATATCTACTTTAAAATTTTCATTCTAATATTTTAATGCTTGACAAGTTAAGGGTTAACAACCACAGTTAACGTTAGTACTTAGTAGTTCACTTTTTCGTATGTGAGATAAGAGCTATTTACTCTCGTACACAGCATACTAACTTTGAGTAGTATAGGCCGATGTGCAACCATTCTATCTACAGCCGTGCTTACTAGTAGGTAATAAATATATTTTGAAATATTCTTTTTGGGAATTATAGAGCTTATCGTTTATCGGTAAAATTCTTTGTGCAATTTTTGTTGATTGATCTATTCAACTTGTTAAAACCAAACGCCTACTGTGTATAAAAAAAATATTAATTTTGGTTAAGGGGCCTCGCAATGGCATTGATTTAAGGAGAATCATTTAGGCAATTTCTAATCTCGTCGTCGCCACCCGAGATCTATGTGTTAGTCGTAAATGATTATTAGTGTGTGTGGCGTCCATGCGGGTCAATTGTAGCTCTCGCGCGCACTCGCACACACATGTCAATATATAATAATATTGTGATCATGAAAAAATCCTTATTTTTCACTTAAACATACGATTCTAATTCCAACAGTACGTCGCAACGATTACCTCAATTTTCATTCTGACAAAATATTATTATTTTCCACAATATGTACGAGGGATCGATCGAGGCACATTTTTAAAATTGTATTTAGTTAATTAAATATTTAAGTTGGAAATTCTGTATTTTTTTTTTTGATTTTTTTTACAATTTTTATTGCAATTTAAATTACAAAAATTAAAAATGTGCTCGATCGTTCCCTTGTATATATTACGGACAATCAGAATATCTTTTCAGAATGAAAATCGTGATAATTGTCGATACGTATCGTTGTAATTAGAAACAGTAGTTTTTGACAAAAAAAAGACTTGGTAGTGAGGCCCCTTAAGTGAATGAAAAAAATTTGTTTACAAAATATAGTTGTTATCAGATTCATAATATAATATTATAACCAAAGCGTGAGCACGGGGGGTGCGTTGTATGCCTTGGCCAGTGTTGTTAATAGATAACTAATAATTTATCTAGATAAAGATAAAGATAAACTACAAATATGTTATCTAGATAAAGATAATTAAACAATCGTTTTATCTAGATAAAATTAAGATAAATTGTATATAACAATTATAATTACACACAATAGGCCAATGATTCTACTATTTTTATAACAAACATAATTAAATTATGATGTGACTTGCTAATGGGCAACATACTTAGAGAACTAGTTTAAATAGATATTATACATAAGGATAAAATAATAAATCACTGCTATTAGCTGCTAATTAACTTCTTATATTGGAAATAATAATACCTACTTCCTGTACTCGTGTGAATTTGGCATTTAATATTTAAAAATGGTACCTACTTAGATAATAATACTGAAATAAACACAAATACTCCATGTTTATCTTAAACTATAATAGTAATGACAATATATTTTATACATATTATATTATTTAACGATTGCCGATAACAAATAACAATATGTTACTGCCTTATTGTGTTAGTAACTATTTTACTAATGAGTGATGACAAGTAAAATAAAATAAAATAAAAATACATGCATACATCAAACAGTTTTATTAAAACCGAAAAGTATCGACTTGAATAATTTATCTAATTATCTAGATAAGATATTTGCTTATCCTAGATAAATTTTTAAGATAATTTGAAACGGTTTATTAAAGACCATGTGCGCTTCCGTCTGCACTGTGTAGTACTCAAAGACGTTATAGACGTTAACGACGCCGTCTTATCCTTGACATTAAGAGTTGATACCTTTTGTTTATAACATCTTTGAGTACTACAGACCACAGACAAAGAACTAACGACCAACATTTCAAGCGTCTCTCGTCCCGAGTATCCGTCATCGTCGTATTATTGACTGCACGACATCGTGGGTTTTTAATCGCATACTCTTCCGCAAAACCCTACGCAGCAACCGCTGCCACCTGCCAGACTTTTCACCTACATCAACGACGTTGTCTCACATCCCAGCGTGAATGAGGAATAAGTAGGTAAGTACCTTGTAAGTTGCAATAAATGTATCTCATATCACCAGTTTATGGTAGATAAATAAAAATTGAACACAGTATGCTCAAGGTTTTCTAAGTAGGAATTTAAGCTAAAATCCAATAAAAGTATCTCTGATAATGTTGATGTGAAAATTTCTTGTCAATTATTTATAGTAGGTAGGTAAATAAAAGTGATATACCTAGTAATAAGTACCAAAGACTGAATCTGACTCAACCCACGGTGAACAAGCAGAAAATCTCCAACAAAATTTCAATAAAAATCAGTTTAAATTCAACAAATATGTTCTTACGCTAGGAATCCTGTTCTTTATAATATACTTAATAACCGTTATAAATTTGTCATTGGTAGTTTGTAAATTGTAGAAACATGGTGAAAATGTATGTATGATTTTTTTGAATTGCATTCATATTTTAATTTTAACCTCCAATTCTTATTTAGTTTTCAGTAGTTCAAGAGCACAAGTGATACATCAATATGTCTTCGGAAACAAATCTGAACATTTTACAGCTGATAAGGAATCGAGAATTGAACGTAATATAAACATGATAACATAATATATTTTATTATTCTATTCAGTCACGTTAAAATTAAATCCTATTATTGATGATTAGGATCACATTCGCACAAAGTATACATTAAAAAGTAACATGGATTACAAATTTATTTCAAAACTTGGATTACACGCTCAATTAGAAGAACATCAAGATAGTATTACATGCATACAATGGAATAAAAGTGGAAGGTATATATATATATATATATATATATTAATAAGGACTATTTTAATTGAATAAAAGTGTAGGTATGATTATTAAAAAATAATATAATTATTAAGACTTATATAATCTATTTAATTTTTCAGCACCTTAGCATCAGTTTATCATGACCGTCAAATAATACTATGGGATCCATTTTTACAAAAAGTTAAAACTACTATTAAAACTTTACACCGTAATAGCATATTTTCTGTTAAGGTAATTAAACACACTTTGGTGTATTTTTAAGAAACCTATACTTTCTCAATTCACTGAGAGAATGTAGTTACTTAGCATACACAACTGAAGCCGAGGAATGGGGTTTTGTGTGTATACGGCAATCTACGACTCGGTTGGGTTTGTGTGCAACCACATTCTATCGGTGAAAAGAGTAAATGTACTCGGTTAATAGAAATGAAAAACAATTTAAACAAAAACTGTTTGGAATAGATCTTATTATTTTAATGTGTTGTAATGTATTATATTGTTTTTATTTTTTTTATATATACATATAGTTTATACCTGGTTATAATGATGATATACTTGCGACTGCATCTATTGATCAGAGTTCACATACATATAATGTAACTACGGGTACAAAACTAATGAGTTGTGTTTGTTTTCATGGAGAAATCAGAAGTATAGCTGTAGCAAATGATTTGCCTAGTCTTTATTGGTGTGCTTCACTGGATGGATGCATTAGGTATGATTCATCTAGATAATGTGTGATAATGGTTTATTAAATTTAGCTTCAATGTAATCACACCATTGTTGTAATAATGTTGATATTAAATTATTTGTTGATGTTCATACAGCCAACATGATGTAAGAATAAGACATATATGTTCTATCAACAAACTTCAAAATACTTTGGTAAAGATATGTGGCAATTATGGGAGTAGAATTGGACCTACATGCTTAGATATAAACCAAATTAGATCTGAGCAGTTTGCAGTTGGTGCTAATGACCAATATGTGAGATTGTATGACCGCAGAATGATTAAATCCCTGTCATCATTTTATATGAAACAGCCTTCTGAAGATGCATTGGTATATGATGGCAATAATGTTAACAATGCACTCCAATATTTTTTACCAGGCCACATCCAACCAAAAAACAGTGAAACAATAACACGAACAAATGGAATTACTCATTTGACTTTTAGTCCTGATGGACAAGAGTTGTTGGTTAATTATGGTTGTGAATATGTATACTTATATGACTTAGTGAATCGAGTCGATAATGCATTTTTCAACATCCCTAAAGTTATGAAAGTTCATCGTAAGTTTATTAAGACAGTTATAAAGTCAATGTGTTATTTAATCATTTGTATAATTTAAGGAGAAAACAAGGAGGTTTCTTCTACAAATTTAATAGATGATCAAATTCCTGTTCCTCATTTGACTCTACCAGATAATGTAGTACAATTACAATTAAAGGTAAGAAATATACCTTGTAAATTGTATGTCATATATTTATGCTAATAAAACAGTAAATAAATTAAAGTGTTGTTATAAATTACAGGCAAATGATTTATTTGAAAAAGAAGACTATAATGCTGCTATTGTCCTTTATAATGAAGCTATAAATATTCATAAAAGCAGTGAACTGTTTTCGAATAGAGCTGCAGCCTACATTAAAAGAAAGTGGTTTGGAGACTTCTATGCAGCTCTCAAAGATTGCCTGACTGCATTAGAATTGGAGCCTAACCATATGGAAGCACATTTTCAGTTGGCAGTAAGCCTGTTTAAACTGGACAAGTTAACAGATTCTAAAATGTATTTAGATCAGTTCATAATGAAATACCCAGCATATAAAACTAGTGCCTCTATAAATTATCTTTATAGTAATTTATTAAATGCACAATCTAACAATAAAGATGGTAACTACTATAACATTATTTTTGTATTTTTATGTATAGTATTCTATATAAACTATTTATTGTTTTTCATCAATTATTTGTGTTCTCTATTTAGGAAAAAAAATTCTTGAAACGTCGGATACTTCATCAAATGTTCCAGTATGGTTTCTTATTGACCAAGCCAAGAAGAAAGCTTTTGATGAATACTTTCGTAATCAGGCGAAAGATTATCATTGTAGATATATTGGTCGTAAGAATGATTTTTGTCTTTACAACAAAGAAGCTGACTTTTTTGGAAGGTGAAGTTATTATTAATAGTATATAATAATGAATGTTCGAATTTTTATTTTATACATTTATTTATAGTCGAAATCAATTCATCATAGCTGGTTCTGATGATGGTTTAATATATCTATGGGAAAAAAATACAGAGAAGAATTTACTCACACTGCAAGGGCATAAATTTGTGGTAAATTGTATACAGCCACATCCTTCAGAGTTTTTGTTTGCAACTAGCAGTATTGATAGTAAAGTCAAATTATGGAGTCCATTGCCAGATGTAAGACTATTAAGAAAATAAAAAAATTATGCTTAAAATTAAATAAAAATATTTTATGCAATGTTATATAGGATGTATGTTATAATACACAAATAATTGACTACAGCACAGCAGCTGCGTTAAACCAAAGAACTGTGATGAGTGATCAATTTTAAGTAATATTGGTTAGAATAATGCAAGATGGACATGACACTATTGACTTAGCTACTTAATATGATCAATATGGAATCGATATATTACTGATGTGTTTAATGATTGTCTAATGAGTTGATAGAAACATAATTTATGTATTTTTTTTTTATTAATATTAAATATACATCAATATTTTAATAAAAGATAAATTGTGATTGTTTACTGCATTAAATCATTCAGAGAAAAGACTTTACTAAATAAGTGTTGTAGAAAATTGTTGTAGAAATTGTGCATAAGTATTTTGAATATTTATTAACTGCTTTAGTAGGTACCTAACTATATATCAGGAGCCTTACACTAAATTGTCATGCGTTTTGATCTAGCAAATACATTTTTTTTGAAAATTATAGGAAATAAAACTCAATAAAGGTAGGCAAGCGGGTCTCGCTCTGCTGCAAAGTAGGTTACAAGTGTGTCATTGTAATGGTTTGTGTTAAATTTGAATTCAATAGTATAATATCATTGTATAAGAAAAACAATTAAGAACGAAGACGGTCAGTCAGCCTATGATATAAAGAAGTATATTTGATGATATAACTGACTACTGTGAATAAAATAATTTAAATATAACCTAATTACATAACACCTTGTTTTAAATTCTCAATACTTGGCTATAAAAGTTGTACATTATATACATTATTAATTACAAAATAAATATTATATCTTGTAAAAATTTGAACTTTAAATGATTAAAAAAAAATTGTGGTTATTATTTTTAGTATTTTTCAACTGCTATATTAACAATATATCGGGAGCCTTGTATTACATTTTTATATATTACTTTTTTAACAAACAAATACAATTTTATTGACAATTTATTAATGAAAAAAAATAAAAATTTTAAAACTGAAAATGTTCTTAAACAGCTTAAGACGAGTTAAAATTCCCCTCTGTAGTAGAGTAACATCACTGTGACTAACCTACTTACACCGTTCTACATTAAGTACGTCAGTATTGACTTTAAACTTAAAAACTACATAATAATAATAATAGATCAATGTAAGTATTGATTTTACAGTGTCTATGCGTGTTTTTTTGTGTATATGATTTTCCTATGTATACACTCTTTTTACTAGGACAAATTTTTTGATTTTCAACATTAATATGATCATAACTGGTAGGAAATCGTAGTACCTATTGTTTAAACTATGGGAAGTTTATTCACAGCACGTTTCTCAATAGTTATTTAATGCCACCGGAGAAACCCTCAACAAATTATAAAAAAACCGCTAAAAACGGGATTTTAATTTCTAACGCTTTGTTTATCTCCATAGAAACGAATAAAAATAAAATGACGGTTTTAGTTATTCTCTTGTAATTTATAATATTGAATCAACATACATGATATAATAACATTATAGGTAATAACAATATACATTATCCAGACTGACAAACCGTCTCTGCTCAGGTTTGTTTTTCGTATTCAATGATGTGATATCATTGAATTAAAATTTGCTCTAGTGATCATTGTACTAATTATAGATCTATCTCTCTCTATCTCTTTCTATATCCAAAATATTTAAAAATTTTTAAAACAATGTTTGATTGTTTTTTTTGAATATACATGATTTTTTTTCTAAAAACCAATTTTATTTTTGGAAAAATAAATCAACAAAAGACGCACTGTGTGTTATTAGCTTAAAATTGTATTAATTCTAATAGGTACTGGCAATGGCAATAATGAGGTATAGGTAATTGGTTTATTTTAGATTTAAAAAATGCTTTTCATTATGTTGCATATTCAGCATTTATATTTCATAAGTATCATATTACGATCGGTGGGGATTGTCCATCGGTCATTAGCAAGTAGGTAAATTTTAATTTTATTATTACGTTATTCATTATTACGATTCAAACCATTGTCAATAAAAGACTATAATATACGTTTGTGTCATTATTTATGTTAACAATACACAACACGTTAAAAAAAAAATTAAAATATTATGTGGTATTCGTGGTTTACAACATATTATTATCTTTCAAATAGATCGGAAGTAGTTAAAATTGAAGAAATGTAAACTTTATTACTTAAGGGTCATTATAGGCAAATTTTTATTTCTTAGCTTTTTATATCAGAAAATATTATTTGTTTTTCTGACGATAAATTAGAGTGAAACTTGAAACTTGAACATAAAAAAAAAAATTATGAACATTGTTTACTTAACAATTCAATGTACTGTGATGAATTAAAAATAAACATGTACGTTGTTATTGATAAAACTTCACCTTACCATAATATATTAACCGAGGTGGTATAGTTAGTTATTGTAATTATTAATAATAATTAATAGGAATTTGACTGTCGGCTTTCTTTATCCAATCTTTTATTATTAATTAAAGCATATATTTATTGATTGGGATAGTGAGTATAGATTTATAAACTAAGGTTATGTTAATTTATGATTTACCTAAGTTGGCATGTCTTTATTCATTTGTTGCTGATTAAAATTCTATTGTTGAAATTGTGTGAGTATGTATTATTATAATTTCTTACCTGGTTGAGGTTACTTGATTTAACGTTGATGGATTTTAAGATGAGAGTTTGACGATGTTAGTTCTTTTCGAAATGACGTATGTACAATTTTGATATGAGTAAAAGTTATTTTAATAATTTACTGCAACAAAATATAAAATTTGTATGAGTAGTAAGTACGTTAATTAATGATCGCTGTATAATTTTGGTAGCGAAATAAGACGGTGTGTGTGATACTGTGCTGCTGAGATCTGACTCAGTTGATGGGAGCAAACTGATCTGAATATTGAAATGGGAGTTATACTCATAGAATTGACCTTTGATACCTTGTTGTTCCATATTAAATTGTTGTTGTTTATTTTGCATAAGTACATGGGTCATGGGTATAATCAAATATATATAATATGGTTATTACTTACTAGCTGATCCTGTGCACTTCGTTGCCCGTTAAATGTACCAACTCTATATGACTCAAACTTTGTTCAATTCGTTATTTAATATTCGGTGTATGCCGTTCAAAATTTATCTTAACTTTTCTGTTGCCTTTAATAAAAATTCTGATTCGCAGCACTATATTAACAGGTGGGCAATCTACCTGCGGTAGATCGTGGACACAGTGCTGTTTGTACGTAAGTGTATGATTTATCTCTAAAGTATCAAAGTTATACCAAGTTTATTTTGGTATAATAAGGAGGATTAATAAAATCAATTAATCATAATCCCAACCTAACTGTACTAAAATCCGATGAATAAAAAAAACTAAATTTAACCCTTTTTAAATTATCCTATCTTCTTCCCAGAGACAAACAAACAAACATTTATATATAATATAGCTGATCCTGGGTACTTCGTGGCCAGTAAAAAATGACAACTCTTAAAAAAATTGTGATTGTTCAACTCCTTTTTGATGGAACTCACTGCAATAAGTGCAACTCAGTCACCTTGGTAGGCAATGTGTGAAAATTCGATTTGATGCATGCTTGTATCCAGTGATGGGCTGTGGGTAAATACCCAACGGGTAAGAAATATATTTTGGGTAAATACCAGGGTATTTACCCACGTCATATTTACCTTTGAAAAATTGGGTTTTTTTTTTTTAAATATGGCTATACTGTTTTATCTTAAATCGTGGATTATATCCACCTTGGTTACAACATAAATATTAAAGAATATCTATGGTTATAACCGTCTTATGTCTGCGAAATGTAGAATATAGATATACCGTTACGCTTACGGCATTACCGCATTAGTCTTGCTCTTGTGCTTTTTTTCGTTTTTTCTTTGTTAATAAAATACAAATTATTTATTTTTATTGTTGCTTAAATTTGTGAACTATAAAATAAAATTTTCGGAAGAAAAAAGGACATAGTGCGTAAATATTTTGAACAAGTCATATCTAACGATAAACGTCAGTCATGCAAGTTTTGTCATAAAGAGTATAATATGAATGTGAATAAAATGAAAGCAAATTTACTTAAATGTTCAAATTGCCCACAACAAATAAAACAAAAATTTTATTCAAATACAACTTCTAATGTAACTGAAGATCAAATACAAACAGTTGATGAATATGATGCTCATTTAGTTGTCAATTCGCACAAGTCTTCAACCATCAACAAATTTTTTGATCACATGAATAAATCAGAGAATGTAAGTAAAATAATTAATTTAAAAAAATTATATTAAATAGTAAGCTTATTTTGTTTATCATGTATTACCAATGTATTATTTTTTTAAGTACAATATTTGCTTGTTTAACACTAAAAACTTGGTACCTATGACCTACTTGTGTAGGTATAATGTTTAATTATATAAATTGACAAAAACCATTTTTTTTTAATTTTACATTATTACATAGGTATTTAAAAGGTACAAAAAATCAAAATGTTAAGGATTACCTATAAGCTATATAACACTTACAACTTATAATAAATTAAGTACCTACATAAATAATATTATATTCATAGCTATTTTAATTTATATGAATATATACAAATTATAATTTATTATTTTATTACTGGTGTTGTATCTTTCATAATATTTTATATTTATAAATTTATAAACAATCTATGCTTATTAATTTATGTTTTTTGTTTTTTACTTCTACTTATCATAATATTTTTTTTATTAAGTAGGTATTTAGGCTTAGTTTAAATCTATTTGAATTAGGTAACATAGTTCTCTAAGTTGTTATATAATAACATTTATTAAACTTAACTGTTTAAACAAAAATTATAAAACTGTATTTACCTAATTTAGGTACCTAGTTTTTTTTTTTATAATTTATTTTATGAGGTTATTATATTTCATAGGTACGTTTGAATGAAAAACTTGCTTTGGCCATCATCGTCAGTGGATCTCCATTATCAATGACTGAGCACCCACTTTGGATTGACTTTTTTAAGCAAATTCGACCAACCTTTAAACTACCTTGTCGGAAATCTACAGTTTATGCGGATAAAGTGTATGCTGAAATGCAGAGTAGTATTA